GCGTCTTTGGCAAGGGGCCTGCTGAGAAGGAGTCACCATCCTCTTTGAGAAACGGATTCGGAACTTCTGAGAACAGAAAATGTTGTTTGTAAAAACAGGGAACGTGAGAAAGTCCCAGAAAGAGCAACGTTTGATGGCTCACAACAACAGAAGTCAAGTAGGAAAGCAGAAGTTGTGAATTGCTGCTTAAGAACAAGGACAGACGTGTTCAGCTGAAGGACACTGATTAACAAGCATGATAGCCTTGAGATGAACAGAATAACAGAGTTGGAAGGGACCTTGGAGGTCTTCTAGTCCAACCCCCTGCTCAGGCAGGAGATCCTACACCATTTCAGATAAAAGGGTCGTCCAATGTCTTCTTAAAAACCTCCAGGGTTGGAACACCCACAACTTCTGGTGGCAAGCCGTTCCACCGATGAATTAAGATTAGATTTACTCAGCAGCGGCTCAGCTCTTTTACTTCAGGGTGAAACAAAGTTATGGGATAAGTAAAGTAGCTTGTTAATAAATGTCATGACTTTTGGAAAACGAACTTAGTTACCAACCGTGTTGTAATTTTACAAACCTGGTAGCTCCTGGATGTTTTACAGTCCAGGCAGTAGCTAAGCGGACTAATCATGTAGTACGACAGTAGTTGAAAACATCTGGACAGCAGCTGGTTGGGGCTACTGCCCTATTCCCATCTGCAAATGGACTGTTTCACTCTAACATGTGTTACACCGAAGTATGCGTTCAGTTTATGCTGCGTCTTTCCACGTTCCTGCCCCTCACCGTGCCACGTTGTCAAGGCTCCCAGCGATACCTAAATTCTGTAATATGGAGAAGGCCCGGCTGAAGCCAGGTCTTGAGTTTTTGTGATAAGGATGGAGCAGATTGGGGCAGATAGTAATTCCCTCAGGTCCAAAACCAAGAATGACACGTGGTGTTCCTTCCAAGATGAGTTGATACCTGAAGACAGAATCTTGCCAAACTGAGGACGCTGCTATCTCCGTCTATAACACGGGTCTTCAAACTTGGCCCTTTTATGACTTGTGGACTTCAACTCCCAGAATTCCTCAGCCAGCTAGGAGTTGAAGTCCACAAGTCATAAAAGGGCCGAGTTTGAAGACCCCTGGCTTAGAGCAGAAGGATAAGCTGAGCCCTAATGCCATTAGATAGTTGAATTCTGGGAGTTGAAGTTCACAGGTCTTAAAGTTGCCAAAGGTGGACAGAGACAGAAAGAAAGAAAGAGAGACACACAGAGAGAGAGACAGACAGACAGCGACAGAGAGAGACAGAGAAAGAGAGAAAGAGAGTCAGAGACATAGAGAGAGAGGGAGAGAGAGAAAGAGACACAGAGACAGAGAAAGAGACAGAAAGACAGCGACAGAGAAAGAAAGAGAGAGACAGACAGACAGAAAGACAGGTAGAGAGACAGCAACAGAGAGACAGAGACAGAGAGGGAGAGAGAGAAAGAGAGAGGGAGACAGAGAAAGAGAGAGAGAGAGTCAGAGACATAGAGAGGGGGAGAGAGAGAACGAGACACAGACAGAGAAATAGAAAGACAGAGACAGAGAGAAAGAAAGAGAGAGAAGAGACGGAGAGGGAGAGAGCGAAAGAGAGAGGGAGACAGAGACACAGAGAGAGAGAGAGTCAGAGACATAGAGAGGGAGAGAGAGAAAGAGAAAGAGACACAGAGAAAGAGACAGAGAGACAGAGAGAGACAGAAACAGAGACAGAGAAAAAGAGAGACACAGACAGAGACACAGAGAGAGAGACACAGAGAGAGAGGGAGACAGAGACAGAGAGAGAGGGAGACGGAGACGGAGAAAGAGAAAGAGAGAGAGAGACAGAGAGAGAGGGAGACGGAGAAAGAGAAAGAGACAGACAGAGACAGAGAGAGAGAGGGAGACGGAGACGGAGAAAGAGAAAGAGAGAGAGAGAGAGACAGAGAGGGAGGGAGACGGAGAAAGAGAAAGAGAAAGAGACAGAGAGACAGAGACAGAGAGAGAGGGAGAGGGAGACGGAGAAAGAGAAAGAGACAGAGACAGAGAGACAGAGAGACAGAGACAGAGAGAAAGAGAGAGAGAGTCCATTCCTGCCACTGAACTACTGAAGCTATATCTAAACTGACATTTCCTTCTCCCTGTCTCTCCAGTGTGCTGATGACCGGGATGCGGTGTGCACCCGCTCAGTCTCCGTGCAGCTCCAGGAGGAGAACTTCACTATCAAACTGAAACACGGCGGGGGCGTTTCTGTGAACGGCCAAGACGTTCAGATCCCCTTCATACTAAGTGCGTAGTCTTCTTGCTCAGGTCATCTTCTGCCTCTCCAGGAGGAAGGCCGCCAGCTCATGGTGGCTTACCGCAGGGGTGGGGAACGATGGCCCCTTTCATGACCCGTGGACTTCAACTCCCAGAATTCCTGAGCTAGCTCAAAAATTCTGGGAGTTGAAGTCCACAAATCATAACGGGGCCATCGTTCCCCACTTCTGGCTCACAGGTTCAGCGTCAGGAATCCCAAAACATCTCAATCAATTGGAATAGAACTGGAACCTACGTACAGTTGCGGACCTGCGCCTTTTTCGCCGATCCCTGAAGGCCCATCTATTCCGTGCGGCCGGCCTGGCGTAGTTTGATTATGTTTCAGTGGGGGTTTTTATATGGGTGTGTTTTTAGAACAGGCCTATTATTTAATTTGATTTTAGAACAGAAACTATTTATTTATTATCGTGGTTTTTAGTATCGCCTGTTCACCGCCCTGAGTCCCGTAAGGGAGATAGGGCGGTATATAAATTTAATTAATAAATAAATAAATAAATAAATAAATAAATAAATAAATAAATAAATAAATAAATAAATAAATAAATAAGAGCCCTTGGAGGTCTTCTAGTCCAGCCCCCTGCTCAAACAGGGGGACCTATACCATCACAGACAGGTGACTGTCCAGTCTCTTCTTAAAAACCTCCAGCGATGAAGCATCTCAAGGCCACCTGAGTAGATGTGCAAATGGGTGTGGAGCCTTCTTGGAACTGTTATCTGACGACACAGGTAAGCCTCCAAGTGGCCTCAACGACTCGCTAAAAGGATGCAAATGACCAGTTTTTCTGCAAGGAATATAAATCCTCCCATCTCCCCACCATCCGGTCAGAGCTGAAGAAGCTTCATTGGAGGAGAAGAGAAACGTCTTCAAAGAAAAACAAAGGAAGTCCAGTTGCCTCCTGAAAAAAAGCAGCTTTGGGACAACCAGGACCTGGAGGACGGAGAATCTCCACTGACCTTACGTGGGAGAAGAAAGTTCAGGAGGTTTTATGCAGTTTTGGAGACTTCAGATTTTGCTTCCTGGGATGGGCTAGTCCAGGGGTCTTCAAACATGGCCCTTTTATGACTTGTGGACTTCCAACTCCCAGAATTCCTCAGCCAGGCGTGCCTGGCTGAGGAATTCTGGGAGTTGAAGTCCACAAGTCATCAAAGGGCCAAGTTTGAAGACCCCTGTCTTAAAGCATCCTGGCTGAGGAATTCTGGGAGTTGAAGTCCACAAGTCATCAAAGGGCCAGGTTTGAAGACCCCCGTCTTAAAGCATCCTGGCTGAGGAATTCTGGGAGTTGAAGTCCACAAGTCATCAAAGGGCCAGGTTTGAAGACCCCCGTCTTAAAGCATCCTGGCTGAGGAATTCTGGGAGTTGAAGTCCACAAGTCATCAAAGGGCCAAGTTTGAAGACCCCTGTCTTAAAGCATCCTGGCTGAGGAATTCTGGGAGTTGAAGTCCACAAGTCATCAAAGGGCCATGTTTGAAGACCCCTGTCTTAAAGCATCCTGGCTGAGGAATTCTGGGAGTTGAACTCCACAAGTCATCAAAGGGCCAAGTTTGAAGACCCCCGTCTTAAAGCATCCTGGCTGAGGAATTCTGGGAGTTGAAGTCCACAAGTCATCAAAGGGCCAAGTTTGAAGACCCCTGTCTTAAAGCATCCTGGCTGAGGAATTCTGGGAGTTGAAGTCCACAAGTCATCAAAGGGTCCAGTTTGAAGACCCCTGTCTTAAAGCATCCTGGCTGAGGAATTCTGGGAGTTGAAGTCCACCAGTCATCAAAGGGCCAAGTTTGAAGACCCCTGCGCTAGTCCGTTTCCCTCATCTATGTTCCCCAGGATCTGTGACACAATTGGAAACCTACAGCAGAAAGTGAAATGGAGGCGTCCTCAGTTTAGGAAAAAGATTTAGCTTCCAAGAGAGGCAGGGCGAAAGCAAAAGCAGGGGAAATTGGACCTCTGCAAAAAACAACAACACACAACCAACAACAACAGCTTTTAAGAAAAACTGGTCATTGGCCTTGAGCATTTGAAAATCAATTTCCAGTCACCACTAATTGCCGTGAAGAACTGTGCTGTTAGATCATATTCTGTCCTGGAAGGGAAGCCTAAACATTTTTTAGCTTTGTTTTTCCACAACCAGCTGCCGTTTCTGGGGAAATTCAGAAAGCAAAAAAAAATACACCCCAGCGGTTCCTTTGTTATTGAACTGGAAGGGAGTTGTGAGTAAGGGTCACAACTGGTCCACCTACATTTCCTTACCAGAAGGGAAGGGAGGGTTGCAAAAGAACGGCGGGTGTTTTGACGTAACGTGGCTCTCTTAAAAGCTTGAGATGCCTTTCCGCAGATTGCTTCAATTTCAGACTGATTTAACCGTCACGGGTTGCTGCTGAGAATCATGTGCTTTGCTGTGATGATTTTTCTTTGAATTAGAGCAAAGTTATTTTGCTCTGTTGGGGCCAAACAGAGCCTTTAACTGTAGAGCATGTGGATATTTTTTTTTAACAGAATAACAGAGTTGGAAGGGACCTTGGAGGTCTTCTAGTCCATCCCCCTGCTCAAGCAGGAGACCTTATATCATTTCAGACAAATGGCTGTCCAGTCTCTTCTTAAAAACCTCCAGTGATGGAGCATCCACAACTTCTGGAGGCAAGTCGTTCCACTGGTTGATTGTTCTGACTGTCAGGAAGTTTCTCCTTAGTTCCAGGTTGCTTCTCTCCTTGGTTAGTTTCCATCTGTTGCTTCTTGTCCTGCCTTGGGGTGCTTTGGAGAATAGCTTGACTCCCTCTTCTTTGGGGCAGCCCCTCAAATATTGGAACACTGCTATGGCGTCTTTAAAATATCTACACCTCCCTACTGGTTAGCAAATAAGTGGACAGGCTTTGATTAGGACTTGGAGGGCTGCATATGCGGACGCATGATATTGTATTTATTAGATTTTTATCCTGCCTTTATTATTCTATAAGTACCTCAAGGCAACAAACATTGAGATTTTGGCAAAAGTGCAGAGAAGAGCAACTAAGAGGATCCAAGGCCTGGAGACCAAAGCACATGAAGAACGGCTGCGGGACTTGGGTTTGGCTAGTCTAAAGAAAAGAAGAAATAGGGGAGACATGATAGCAGCGTTCCAGTATTTGAGGGGCTGCCACAAAGAAGAGGGGGTCACATTATTCTCCAAAGCACCAGAAGGCAGGATAAGGAACAATGGTTGGAAACTGATCAAAGAGAGAAACAAGCTGGAATTAAGGAGAAACTTCCTAACAGTGAGGACAATCAACCAGTGGAATAGCCTGCCTCCAGAAGTTGTGTCTCCTCCATCACTGGAGACTTTTAAGAAGAGACTGGACAGTCACTTCTCTGAAAAGGTATAGGTCCTCCTGTTGGAGCAGGGGGTGGACTAGAAGACCTCCAAGGTCTCTTCCAACTCTATTCTCAGTTGAAGTCCACGAGTCATAAAAGAGCCGAGGTTGCCTACCCCTGCCTTAGGCCGTGCCCTTGTTTCTTCCAGATGCTCTGCACATCCAGCATACGGTGCTGCCAGCTGTTCGCCTCAGCTATAAGGAGAATATGCATCTGGACTGGGACGGGCTGGGAACTCTTGTAATCAAGGTAGAGTTGACATTTCCTTCTTCCTCTGGTGTTTCCATTTTTTTTTTTAAAAAGGAGAAAAGCCACACCATACAATAATAAAGTTGGAAGGGACCTTGGAGGTCATCTAGTCCAACCCCCTGCTCAGGCAGGAAACCCTATACCATTTCGGACAAATGGCTGTCCAGTCTCTTCTTAAAAAC